TATATATTGAGGTATTATCCTGGAATGGATATTTGTTAGTACTTATTTGTTCTTAAGCATCAGGTATCTTTTAAAACATGTTCTTTCAATTTAGTAGATATCAAGATATCTTGAGTAATGCTTAGTTGATAGGAATGCTTGAATTCTTTTTCTAATTTATTAATATACAACCTTAATAGTTCTATTAAAATCATGTAATGTTTAGCAAGCTCTAACTGCATACTATATTAGATTCCACGTGTCTAATATGAACATTTCTCTTATTGTCATAATTGTTCCTTGAAGACAAAATTAGACACTGAGTTAAAATAACAATGCTTTGTTACTTCTGAATTTTTTTGCCTCTATCTTACATTATCACCATCATTGTCATTTTAAATGTAATTGCCATATTTACGTATAATTATTAATCATGAATTTAATTTTTACTCATGTGAAACCTTGGAAAACTATTTAATTCTGTTCATATATAAGGTGGCATTATATTCACTACTGCCTCCTTCAGTGCACTGATCTATAATAGTGTGTGAAACCAATGCTACAATTTTTTATAGGTGGTTGTTTTGTCATCTTTTACAAACATTAACTAACTCTTTTTGTCTTAGATTAAGCCAAACATTAGAAATTAGGAAATGCGTTTATGGTGTAAGAATGGTGTCTTTTTCACAGCTCATGCTCTGTTAAGCATCATGGTGAATTTATATTTTGTTTTTCAGGTGTTTCATTTTTTACTTTTGGTACCTTAAAGAGTGTTGGGCTTTCCCATGCTCCTACCCTTCTTGGCAGACCTTCATCAGACAATCCTAATGTCTTAGTTTTGAAAACTCACATAAACTTACTTTGTGGTGGTGTTGCTGGAGCAATAGCACAGACAATATCGTAAGTTTCTTCATCAATTTAATTCAATCAAAGTACAGTTGCCCAGTCCTGATTTTTCAGCATTGGTTAATCATTTTATTTTTTCTAATAGATTATTCAAAAATAAGATCCCTTACAAAATATAAGTATTAATTTAATACAGTTTTTCAGATGTGCCTGCACCATAAGCATATTATAAATAATTACAGGTGCAGTGGTGTGCACCTGTAGTCCTACCAACATGAGAGGATAACCTGTGCCTAGTTCACGGCCAGACTGGGAAACATAGTGAGACTCTCATCCCTTAAGAGAGAAAGAAAGAAAGAAATAATAGTAATTACATGCCAAATTGACCAAATTAAGCTGAATTCACCCAGTTTCCTGTAGATTCATTTAAAAGAAAGAAACACTAAATGTAATCTTTATATTTTCTCATGAATTTGCCTACATGAAGTTTCTGAAGTTCAAACCATTCAGAGTGTGTGTATAAGGAGACACAACTTCTCTTGCATTAAATCTTGAAGGACTACTTTGTGCTAGAAAGTTTACTAGGCTTTGGGAGGGTCACTGAAGGAAAAATAAAGTTGCTGCCTCAACAAGGCTATCTCCTTATTAAGACAGTAGCAGTACAAGGGAATTAAGTGGAAACATAGACAAAGGTATTATTTAACACTATATTGTAATTGGAAAAGTGGCTTCAAAGAATTTCCCTATACCAAGAGAGATGGAGTAGAGTGAGAGAAAAAGAGGCTAGAATACTATGAAAAAGGAACTGTTTAGGAACAGGAAGAAGAAAAGCTTTCTGTGACTGAGAAGTGAGAATCCTGAAAAACAGGAAGACAAGGAAGTAGTTAGTGTCACAAAGACTCAAAAAAGAATATCCAATGGGAAAAGAAAAGTCAAAGTTAGTTAAGTCAGGTTTTCATTAGATTGTACAATTAAGGATTATTTTTGTGAAAGCAGATTAAGTGTATTTGTGGATGAGACAGATTATATTAGATTGAAGGTAAAGAAGAAAAGGAATGTGATTTACTTTTGGAAACTTGGCTGTGAAACCTTGTTCATTTGCGAAGACAGGATCACCTCCAGCTATTGCGATTCTTTTCTTGCTTTTATTGCTTCCCTCTCTTCACTAGTTACTCCCAACCCCTAGATCCTTAAAATCTACCTTCTCTTTCCCACTTCTGTTCTTAAACTGTATTGTAAACCCATTGACCCCTTAATTCAGTGGCTCCCTTCTTAGTTCTTTTATCTTTCCAATTGTTCTAGTTCTTTGGCTCCTGTAACAGTGCCCTCTCTAGGCGATCATCCTTCTGAACCTTCTCTTTTCAAGTATTCCTACCTATCTGTGTGGATTTTTTAAGGCCCAGCCAGACTTTAGTTTTCCTCTGTTCCTATAAATATCTAGAACAGCTCATTTATCTTCATGGTATCAAGGGTCACCACTGTAAAGATAACCAATTTTATTTAAATCTCCTTTACTGCCTCCCCATTACATCTCTAGCAAGCTTTTGGATGTTTCCCTTGGATCTTTTGCCATTAGGTCAAACTTCATAATTCAAATATTACCTTCTTGTCTTCTTCTTTGTGACAATCCTCAGCTCCTAACTTTCCTGTTACTGATAACTACTAATCTACTAGTCCTGATAACTTGAAGTCATTTTTCACATTGTACATATCCAAAGAGTTGCTAAGTCTTATCATTTTTTTTACTTGAGAACATTGCCTAGAATGTAATTTTCTTTCTTTCCCACTATTATTTCTCTAGTTCTAGTCTTTGTCTCCTTGTCTTCTTACATTCTGTCCTTTCTATTAATCAATTCCTTCTACCCACGTATATCTTGTCCTGGTTGGAAACTCAATTCCTCAGGTTGAAGGTACTTGGTCACTTTACCCCTATAACGTTTTTTTTTCTCTCCCATTAAAAAATAATTTGTGGAGATGCTATTGAAGTGCATAGGGAGCTTCAACTATTGGTAATATTATTTCTTAAGTCATTTGGTTAGTGACAGGGTGTTTTTTTATCATAACTATTTCATAGTAAATTTAAATGTGTATAAAAACATTTTTATCAGATATCACTTATATATATATTAGATACTGTGGGGAACTTCAAACAAAAAGTAGAAAGCACTGTGACATTAGAGAATGTCTCTAATACTCCATTTTTTTTATCTTAATGTTGGGATAACAGTAATGCAATTGTGTGAAGATGAAATGAGATAATGTACATTGTTTAGCACAGGACCTAACGAACACAAGTGGTTAATATTAGCAAAATAAAAATAATTCTAAAAAATCACCTGTATCCCCCTCCTAAAAGAGATTACTTTTCCATATTTCGTTTCAGGCAATCCTGTGATATGATTTTCTCTGTCCTCAGAATGCA